ATGACTAAAATGAGCAAAGACCCATCAAAACAATACCTGATTCAAAAATTTAATATCACTTTAAGATATTTAGATGATATATTGGCTCTCAATAATGACGACTTCAGAATGTAGACTAAAGAGATTTCTCCTGCCGAACTGACTTTAAATAAAGCTAATACTAACAATGAACACTGCCCTTTCCTGGATCTTGATATCTTTATCTTAGACGGGAAGCTTAATACCAGAATTTATGATAAAAGAGATGATTTTTCATTTCCTATTGTTAATTATCCATTTTTAGATGGTGACGTTCCCTTGTCGCCATCTTATGGTGTTTATATATCTCAACTTGTTCGATTCGTTCGTGTATGTAACAACGTATTTGGTTTCAACGAAAGCAATCTCTGTATTACTGAAAAATTATTACACCAGGGTTTTCGATATCACAAACTAGTCAAAACATTTACTAAATTTTATCATCGCTACAAGGACATCATTCGTAAATATAAATCAACATGCAGACATCTTATACGTTCAGGTATTTCACATCCAATAATTTATGGTAATATTCTTACAAAGCACAAAAATGTCGGCATTCACCTCAAAAGCTAACCAAACCTTAAAACAGACTTATTCGGAAAGGATATAGTTACGATACTGTTGTCAAGTCATTAAGGATTGCATATTTTGGTATTAATATGGATTCACTCATAGGGTCTTTGCATCGGAAATAAACACATTTATTCTAAAACCAGTTGTTGGCATGATACGGGTTATGTTCTTCTCATATATTTTATGATGGTATGATACTAAACCCCTAACGGGAGGGATTGTACTTGATTTTCATATGATGAATTAAGACATAATATTTCAATCAGTTTGATTGAGGTCTGGAGAACTGATAGTAGTCCATTGTTCATTTATGTATCATTGTCATTTTGCTTAGTTTCTTTTGTTACCTATTCTGACATCGGACTCGGACTTCTTTTAAACTGAGTTTTACTGTGTGTATTGCTATGTGTTTCTTTTTTCTACATTGGCTAGAGGTATAGGGGGAGGGTTGAGATCTCACAAGACATGTTTAACCCCGCCGTATTTTTGCGCCTATCCCAAGTCAGGAGCTTCTGGCCTTTGTTAGTCTAGTATGTTTTTTAATTTTAGTTCATTTATATGTTTTGGAGTTTAGTGTGACGTCCATTTTCACTGAACTAGTACACAATTTTAGTTAGGGGCCAGCTGAGGACCACCTCCGGGTGCGGGATTTTCTCGCTGCATTGAAGACCCATTGGTGGCCTTCGGCTGTTGTCTGCTTATTGGTCGGGTTGTTGTCTCTTTGACATATTTCCCATTTCCATTCTCAATTTTATGTCATAGATAGTTTAAGGTTTGAATGTTTGGGTTTAAAACTGTGGTAGATGAAAATAACACTTTATTCATTAAAAGTCTACCCGCAGCACTTTTCTGGGTTTACTTTCATCAGGAACATTCATACCAACACATTTTACATAGGTCCAATAGAGCTTACAAAAATACCCAAATTCATCTAAGGTTAATTTTGCCTGAAGTAATTCGTACTTTAGTTTTTTGATAATTTATTACTGTGACTTGACTGTGTTGCTGTTTACCTTTACCTATTGTTCAACCAGATTGTAAAATTGATAATACAAAATGGACATTTAAATTTACCAGTTGGTATTGTTAGATCTGACGAATAGGTAAGCACTCATGCATGTAGAGTCTACCTTGATGCTGTCACTTTACCTGTTCAATTGTCACTGTTTTTCAAAACTTATCCATGTGGAATTCAGGCTTCAAGTTTATCTTTGTTAAAAAACATAACATGCCTACAGTTTAAATTAGTATATATGGTATGGTATGTTTTTTTAACTTCATTTTCCCATGTTTTTCTTTAGAGAATCCTAAAACAAGTAAAGGAAATACACATTGTAATAACAGTATTTTTTCATTGAAATGAAGTATTCCTTGAAGTAACTGACCATACAATTGCCAAAGAAACACAACATTTAGAAGAAAAAGGAGAGATCTTTTATTTTACTGTCATTTCAAATTTTAGGAGTGATCAAGCCAAAACAAGAATATATATGTTTTTTTTCTTGCAGGGTATTTAATTAGATGTCATCTAATGCACTACATTTCCTCTTACTGTTTTCATATCCAAATACGATGAGTGCTTGGATTTCTTTTATATTGTTGAAAAGACCTCTGTTATCTCATTGGTTTTTTCTAATGGGAGCAAACTCAAAATATCTATTTTTCACTCTCGTGGAAATATTAATTATTTAATAACTCTCATGATTTTTCAGGATTAACAAACACCAGAACAAATGTGTGCATTCCTTCTTTTAGACAATTGGCATGAGCCTTGTAAAAAGGGTTCAAACATAATGAAATATCAAAAATAATAGTTATGAATTAACTGTTTTATCTATTTATTTATTGACACTGATATATGATATCTCATCCAGTATTCCAGCTTCACTATTTGAAGTAAAACTATTTGAAGTATTTTTTAAATATTTTCCTAATTCTATTAATTTTTTGGAATATTTTCTAACATTTTTCACTAGATCACTAGATTTGTTTCTATATCCACAGTATTCTGTTTAATTTCCCATGATATATATCCCAATTAAACAGGTGCAGAGTTTTTATATTAGATCCAAAATTTTGTATTTTTTTATCATTTCTAATACCACATTCAAAACAATTATCCTCACTTTACAATTTTGTTTGATACATTCATGGGAATCCATTCAAAGTCACATTTCATTTTAGAAGCAAAATTAAATTGCATCTAATAAGTGAATCCAAATGAAATAAATCCCAATATGTTATGCACATTGATATCACTAGATTTCAAACACTGCGAATAATAATCCAAAAATGAAAAATTTGAAGGGATATATGAAGATTGATTGATTGATTGTTGGTTGCTTGGGATATATGAAGAAATGCATAACATATCCATTTGAAAACTGAAACTGAAAACACCTGAACAGCTATTTCTTGTTTCACTGACAACTGGACAATACTATGTATAAGGGTTAAAAATTTAAAGATTCATTTATTTTGTTAAAACAGAATTAATTTTCATACATATTAACATGCAGTTACGAAAATATTTTACTGATTTAGATTTTTGGGTCAAAATTAGATTATTCTTCTATATTGGGGACTTAAAACAATGAAAACCAATGATATTTTCTTCCCTATCAATTTTGTAATAGAATAACCCTAGATGAAGAACAACTTCAGGAAAAAGCATGCTGTAAGATTGGGTTAGGTGAATAAAAAACAGTACAGGAAGCATCAAGATAGACTCAACTCTAACAATACCAACTGGTCAATTTAAATGTTCCAATTGTATTGTCAATTTTACAATCTGGTTGTTACAATATATGTATCGACCAAGTAGGAGCTGATTACGTTGTACCTTGTCTGTTCGAAATGACTAAAATCTATTTAGGCTTTTTAACTTTTTTGATTCGAGCGTCACTGATGAGTCTTTTGAAGACAAAACGCGTGTCTGGCGTACACAAATTAAATCCTGATATCTACGACGAGCTTATTTACAACCACTTGGTCGATGCCACTGCTGACGGAGTTTTCTCCCCGTGGGTATCACAGCCCAGTAGTGAGCACTTCTGTGTTGACATGAATATGGTCATAACTACAAATTTACTATTTAAAAAACTTTGAATTTTTCAAAATACTAAGGATTTTCTACCCCAGAAACAGATTACCGTATCTGTATTTGGAAAAACGGTTATGAATTTTGGGTCCTCAATACTCATCATCTTCGTACTTTATTTGGCCTTCTTAACTTTTTTGATTCGAGCGTCACTGATGAGTCTTTTGAAGACAAAACGCGCGTCTGACGTACAAAATTTTAATCCTGGTATCTATGATGAGTTTATCTATCCACATCCCTAGTGCTACATTAATAATTATTTACACGTTATACTTGGTAAAACGTCGGAATCCTATCGCAGATCTGGTCCCAAACCATTTGCAATAAATTTTCTAGTGTGTTTCTGTAATTTTTACCTTTAACCTAGAATTATTGAACTTAAATGATATTGGAAAGTACCTGTACATTTATTGACAGTCACACATCAAATACCAATAAATATAGCACTAAACACAACAAAATTGGAAATGGAACAACGTAAAACTTCAGTATAAACTACAGTATGCAACTTAAAAAAACCAAAGGCAATTAAGGCGACATAAGGTATCTGATGTTCAAAAATAGGTTACAAAGAGACATATACAGTTAATAAACAAGAACTGAGGGAATTACAAGAACTCCAAAAGGAACGAGACCGGATGCGTCAAATCATGTACAAGATATGTAGTAAAATATGTAAAGGAAAGGATGTTTTTATGACCAAACAGCATTTGTAAAAGGAGGAGGATATATAATACCCATACTAAGGAATTTTATTAAGATTGACTAGGATAAAGAAATGTTGGTGCCTATATTTCTATCCAGCAGTACAATTAATGACAAAGAGGAAATCCGTTTGGCTGTGAGAGGTTTATGCTTATGCATATGCAGCCACTAGCGATATGAATTATGATTTTAAATACGAATGCCACGCTTCCTGCACTTTTTTAAAACCTTTTTAGCATTTCCTTGTAGGGTCTATTGGAAGCCTTGTCGTTCACATGGCACTATGTTTGCCTGTTTCCAACATACTGTTTCCAGTCTAAAGGTCAAATTTTCAAAATGAACGTTATAAATTTGAGAAGTTGATCTGAATATGCCTGAAATACTTTACACTAGATATTGAGCACTACCGATTAAACATTCAATGATATGTAAAACATTTTAAAAAAGAAATATGTCTCCTGTCGTAATTTAAATTGTTAAACTAATATTTATAGAATTGCATCGAAGCTTTTTGTAAGTTATGCTTTATATGTCCACCATGTCCACGTTATTTCTTTTTATAAATCAACATCAAAATATATTTCTTTATTTTATACCGAAATTTATCAACAATATGAAGTGTTTTGTGCAAAAAGTTCTCATAATCATCGTGACTTAAGAAATCATTCTTTATGTGTTTAGATTTTAATTAATGATTATTGCAAAACTGGCTAATCGATACATTAATATTTAAGATGTCGTCCAATGAAAATTCTGTTTCTGATTCATACTACTCAACTTGATATTAAATCGCAAAGATATTTAGTTTTCTGCATTCGAAATTAAAAGCCATGAAGTCATTTTTAGTTTGAATTTTACTCCTATGCAGCAGATTCTGATGTTTGGGTTTTCCTCTTGTTGATATCGAATATTTTTCCCATCTTGCTCTTTTTGTCTTTTGCTTTTTGTCTTTTTTTCTTTGAATTCCAAAAGGTAATTGTCGACTTTACAAACTTAACTAAACTGAGTAAATCAATGAGTATAACAAGTCCAACGACAATACAAATAAAAGCAGTTCCGGCTAATCCCATGGTCTCAGAAGATTTCCGTCTATCAGAAGCGGATGTTCGCTTGCGGATGCTAGACGACAGTTGCGATTTATTTACTTTCAGTTCCTTTTTAATCTTTTGTAATTCTGATTCCAATTCCTTCAGCAAATCTTCCTCGGTTCTATTCGGAATTATCTTAGAACCCCAAAATTCTAGTTTTCTCCGATATTCACATCTACACGGAATCATATTTGCTGAAAATAATGACAACTTATATTTTAGATTTATCCATTTTCCCCTTTATTTCTTATGCATAAATTCTACCACTGCATTAAGTGTGATTCGATATGTATCCACTGGAGACAGTTAAATTTTCCAAATCAAAAACGCGAGGCTCGCCGAGCGATTTAAATATGTATAATTGAACTGTCGATAGTGGATAAATATCTTATTGTAAGAGATTTAGTGGTGGAATTTGTTTCTCTAATGATTTTTAGACGATAAACAGACAATCTTATTCTTTCTTTTCGTATGATCTACAAAAAAGTTGTGGTCTTTCTATGTGACGTTGCGTTGTGTGGACTTGTTTGTCTTTTCGTCGTCTTTCGTTTTTGTTTTGCATGGCATTGTCAGTTTCCTCTGCGCATATTCGTTTGGAATATTCCCTTGGTATGATCTACCTATTTTACAAGTTGTCAAAATAAGGTCTATAAAGTGTCAATGCTATATGCACGTGCCATTTGGTTATATTTTATCATAGGCATAAAGTTTTTTCCATTTATACCTTTAAATTTCGACATTACTCATCATTCTTGTAGCATATTTATGAAGTGTAGTTAAGAAAACACAAACCAGTTATTCGGTTCATCGAGACTTGTCTATTCCATGTCACAACTTGATTTTTCCGTTGACAGAGCTAAATGCGGTATATAAATTAACACTGAAAATTTGCATTTAGATATGTGCAAACCTTATTGATAATCTCCAGTGTTGTATGTAAGACGTGACAATAATGTGTATAGCAGTCACTGGGTCGTAAAAAAAATCATTATAAAAACGTATGATTACAACATGTACAACGAGTCTAAGATACAAATTACAAAAAAAGATAATCATTACAAAAAGATAATATTTAAATATTTTCGATAACAAAATAACAATAATCCTTCATTTAGTATTAGTTGTCTTAGATGAAACAACGAAAAAGCATGCTATTCATCGTTAAACATTTCTGATGTTTTACAATGTTTACATCGTATGGACAAAAACACAAAGGAAATATTGTTGCGCGTCATATAGTGTTAAGAGCCGTCTCAATGTAAATTAAAGTTGGAAGGAAAAGCTTACATCCTTATGGTGAAAACAGAATGTATATACATGTTTCACTTGACTATAGAATGCTGCATCTAGTCAAGCTTGCAGATCTAACATCGTTGCATCGGACAAAAAAAGATGCCTTATTTGGGAATTTGCCCTATTAAACTCTAGGCTATTCAATAGAGAATATCTGCCGTAAAATTGACAATTATTATACATGTATACTACGTCTCAATACACATACATTGATTTGACTTCATGGCAAGAATTTATCAGCCTAAACGACCTACAAAAATCAGCGTATCTGCGAGGTATTCAGTTTTCAATGCATTACCCCCTGATCAAACCGAAGAGGAAACTAAAATAACACTTTATAAATTTGGTTCGTCCGAACTGCTTATATGGATTTACCTTCATTTTGTTATCTTGGGCGACGAACACACTGCATGCGGAGTTGTTATGGCAAAGTATACTTATACAATTTTATGTATACAGTTTAAAAATAAGGAGATGTGGTATGATTGCCAATGAGACAACTATCCACCAAAGTTGAAATAAAGTGGATGTAAGCAATTATAGGCGAAAGTATGGTCTTTAAAAATGAGAAAAACCCATAACGTATGGTCGGCTATAAAAGGCCCGACATAACAAATATGAAACAATTTAATTGAGAAAACTAATGGCCTAATTTATAACAAATCAATTTACGAAAAACAAATATGACAGACATAAACCAAAGACAACCACTAAACTACAGGCTCCTACAGGCTCCTGAATTGGGACAGACACATAACGAATGTTGCGGGGATAAACATGTTTGTGAGCGTTCAACCCTCTTTCTAACCTGGGACAGTTGGTGTTACAGCACAACATATGAACAAACTATAAAAATCAGTTGAAAAAAGGCTTACCTCATCAGATGGATACAAATAGAAATACATCGAACAAAAACACAGAGTGGAAGTAGACGGGTACTTATACATCCCCGCAACAAAAAAGACAAAACAAGAGTCCTCGCAGTTACTGACAGCTAGTTCAAAGCAAATAACAACTAATAAAAAAAAATCATGTATCTAAAACTAAAATATCATCAGTACACATCCAACATCCAATGGATTTAGTGTAAAGACGTCATTAATAGTCAGAGAAAAACATGATCTTGTGCAATGCCAACTATAGGTATCGACAGATTGTAGTACCGTGAAAATACATATGTGTAATATTTAGTATGGTTTAAATGTATTGATAACAAAATCAATATTTATACCAATAAAACAATATTCAAAAATGTAATTACAGTGTTGAATATGTAACCTTTCAGAATAAGTTTATTTAAAGAATTGATAAGTTTACCCGTATCGTATTTAAATTTCGGGCTCGGTTTACAACATCACCGTAAAGATCATGATGTGCTATTCCGTTTAAAAAATGTTTTTACAGGTACAGCCAAACATGTAGCCCTAATATTTGTATCTATGGATGAATTTTGTAAAGGTTTTAAGTAATGTGTGGTAATGAAATCCCTGACTTAAAAATTTATTTGTAATACGGTGTGTTAACCATGAAACTAAAGACTTCAAATATTTGTGTTCTATATCAAACTAATAAAGATGAGTTGTTCCGTTGATGTTATTTTTCTTGAGGTTATTGCATTGTTTCATCGCAATTGATGACTCATTTCAAAATTAATAGATGACCAGTGTAAACTGTATTCTACATACATGCATTTATATAGAGACTCGTTTCATCTGTTTGAGTCAGTCCGGAAATGTATGTCACATGGCATTTATACAATCCCTCGTCTGTCCATTTTACGTGTTCAAAGACCAGACTTGGTGATGTGACGTTCCCTTTTTTTGCGTACTCAGAAACGATTACATTGCTACCATTCGCTGATCTTGTCCAGAATAGTTTTGTGATACCCTGCGTGTATTTGACGTCACAGGTAAGGGTAACACTTTCATCCTCGTCTGCTATAATATCTATTAAGCAGCAAATATACAAAATGTAAGCAATAAAGCACACATCATAAACTGAACAACGTAATTGCAATATTTTGGATTTCAGTGCGCTTTTCATGTGTTTCCGGTACACATTAAATGGGCATAAGCTGTCAAAGAAAGACAAAAGATACAAGATGGACGTTCAAACTCATGTCGAAAATGAACTGAAAAGGCCAAGGCTAAAAAAAGAAAAAGACAAACAGACAAACAATAGTATACAAAACACAACATAGAAAACTAAAGACTGAGCAACACGAACCCCACCAAAAATTGGGGTTGATCTCAGGTGCTCCGGCAGGATAGGCAGATCCTGCTCCACATGTGGCACCCGTCGTGTTGCTCCCGTTAGTACAAACCCTGTAATAAGTCTAATTCGGTAGGTCACATTCGGGAAAAGGGGGACGACATTAGGAACATATCCGCTATCATCTGTAAAACGGATATTCAATAACAGTCAACCAACTCGTGTAGCCTCCGTAAAACATACAAAGGAATGATTGCAATTTCACCACTTGGATCGTTTGGTTTAATAGCTTTCTTCTGAGCAGCAACCCTCTATCAAGGAAATCATGATAGGAAATACAAGCTCTGGAATATCGTATCAACTGGGAGATATATACTGCTGGAATGTTACTTCATAGAAATGGAAAGTTCACAATTGGGAAGGAGAAATCATCTCTTTTGTCGTAAAGTTTTGTTTTCAACCGGCCCTCATTGTCAATTTTTAGATGCAAGTCAGGATATGAGGCAGACTTAACTGTATCTGTTGTATTCTTCATCTCAAGTTAGCTTTCTCAACTTTGGGTCCTCAATGTTCGTCAACTTCTTACTTTGTTTACTTTATTTCTCTTTTGACTGTTTTTTATTAGAGCGTCACTGGTCTTTTGAAGACGAAATGCGATTCTGGTGTAAATGATTTTAATTCTGGTATCTATGATAAATTTATTGCACTATTTAGAAATGTACTCTCAAAAAGATGGATCTTACAAAACATGGTTAATGGATGTTTTATTTAGAGAAAATTTCTGTCATTACAACGTTAATGATTCAATCGAATTGTACAATAAAGGGGTAAATATACTGAATCGTAGTTGGAATATGCATTAATAAATAATGAAGATTTTTATCTTTTTCACTGCAGTTGTAAATTAAACTGTTATGATGAAACCAAGAAAGTAACTTTCAGAAAATTGAATATGTTTTCATTCTCTATATTCACAAGTTATAGGACGATAAACCGCGTTGTGTTGAAGTCTGATATGTTGTGGTATGTCGTATTTTTTAACTGATAAAAGTTCGTTTTCTCGATTGAATAGTTTTATATCTGGTCATTTTGGGACCTTGTTTAGCGAATGGTATGGGTTTTACTCATGGCTACTTGTAGTGGCTTACATTTATTTCAATACGACTCTTTTGAATAATTAATCTATTGGCAATCATACCGCATCTTTTTATTTTTTTAATTTGTAAAAGATTAAGACTGTGTTAACGTCCAAACTTTTTTATATAATATCATTTGTATTGGTACATGTATTGCTTATGCCCTGTATTAGATGCCAGTGTCGACCTATTTTTTCGAAGCATGTTTATGATTTATTCAGCAACGAGAGACCAATTTGTTTTATTTGATCTTAAAGGTGTCATTACAAGGCACAATATTATTTATACTACCTGGTTTCTTCTGACAAGCAGTTGGCCTCTTTCCTGTGCATGGAACATCAGCCCATCCGATCTGACCAGAAATTACACATTCTTCAGGAGATTCTCCATTATTTGGCTCGCCTCAATAAAATAAAAAGTAGTTTTCATTAATTTGTAAGTGTTTACGCATTCTTGAATTTCTTATATGACAATCAAAAAGTAAAATAACAAAAAATACCGAACTCCAAGGAAAATTCAAAACAGAAAGTCCTTTATCCAATGGCAAAATCAAAAGCTCAAACACATCAAACGAATGGAAAACAGCTGCCATATTCCTGGCTTGATACAAGTATTTCTTTATGTAGAGAAATGGTGAATTGCACCTGGTTTTATAGCTAGCTATTTAAAGTAAAATGTAAGTATTCTTCTGGAAACATTTATTCGGTAATTCTGTTGGGTGTTTTTTTTTTTTTTTTCAGAATAAGGCATTGATATAGTGTTTATTTATGTTGAACATACAAGATTATATTATGAAAAAAACTTTTCTTACTTTTTTAAATGATAAAGAAAATTTTGAAATTTACATCATAGCATTTTTCCAACTTTGGTGAGTCCGAAGCGCTTTTCTGGGTTGGCAAACACCAGGTGCGTTTTTTAACATTTATTTGTAAATTATGTATTCCAGCATATTCAGTAAAAATTCCCAAAGAGACGGCAAGATTACATGTGATTCTCACCTACGGAAAGCTCCTAGGCTTAAAGATATACGTTTCGACAATCCTTTAAAACGAATGAAATTGACAATAATTGTGCGAATTGAAAAAACTGCGAATTAACATTATAAGGTAAATCATGTGGAAGATATATAAAAAAAAAATATACGGAAAGCAGAGATCACCTTGATGAAAATTCAATCATCAAAGATTACACTATATTGGAAAACAAGAAAACAATTAAACAATAAAAAATGAAAGTCTGAATAATAGTGTATTACCTTAACACGACACAGTAAAATATGAGTTTAATATACAATAACATGACGGTAAGGTTAAGTTTAACTCATTCAAAAAATAAAAGATTATTTTTAACAAAAAACAGGAAGAGATGTATCTAACTTTCAAAATTTGGATGAGAAGTAAGAAAATTAAGGCGTAGAGAATAGGTAAAATTGTAGTTTTCGGTTACTAAATAGTAGATATAATATCGACATTAAATCTACATTTAAGCAATAGGACATGAAGGACTAGATCTGGTACAGGTAAGACAATAAACATACCTGTGGCCCATATACCGTTTGATTTTAATTTAGTACCATCGTTCCAGGTCCAATCTTCTATAGTTTTATTATGATCTATTATTCCAATCCAAAACCGTAAAGTAGTTCTAAAGAATTGAAAAATTGCAATCATAAAGCTTATTATTAATCTCTGTGCTAGCTGTACATTTTTTTTAGAACTGTCAACAACCTAGTTTAACTTTCTTAATCATTTAAAGCCGTTGTACTGTACGTTATATAAGTTCAAAAGGTACTTGATTCAGTCAGAAAGAAACCATTTGTATGAAGCGCAGATGCGCTTCATACTTAACATGTGCGTACAATCAACGCTCTTACAACTCTATCAAATTACAAAAATTCTTATAATTACATTTGTATGCTACAAAAGTGAAATTATGAGTAATATCAATTTTTTCGTTTGTTTTTTTATGCATTGTTGTGACTTTGTCACGGAAAATACGTGCTGTTATATATGTTGCATTTTATTTGGAAATATAATGTTATTTCGGAATGCCTTTCAATTGTTGTCAGTCAATCAAAAGTACGGGTTCATCTGGAGCATACTGTATGTAATGTAATTATTATTTAGAAAAAATATGATGGCAACAGTAAAAAAACGTATAAAGTTTTAAAAACGACAAGACAGCAAATAACTTTTTATAAATTTAGTGCGTTGGGGACTTTCTGGATTTACCTTAAACAGTAACACTCCAGCTCAAAAAAGTGTAAGCCAAGGGTCTATAAGTGGTTGAATACGTGAAGAGCTATATGACCGCAAGGGACCTAAGGAGAATAACGAAATCCATCTAAAGTCAATCTTGCCAGAGGGATTTGCAATTAAGAGGTTAACAGTAGGTAGAAGATGTCAAAATCAATTAAGTTAAAGGGGAGTCCAATTCAGAAGCCACAAATTAATTAAAATCAACATCAGATGTGTATGTTTTTGACTCCAGCAGAATCAAATACACCTTTTAAAGAGGAGAAACGTGTTATGAAGGGTGAAATTAAAAAAGCAAGAAATACAATCAACAATAGTCGAAAGATCAAAAACACAAACATGAAAAAGAATCCCTCAGTTCGGTTATAAGAAAGAAAGACGGAAATCGACACTGTACGGATTGTTCATTCACCATCAAAACTATAACTGATTTATAGATACATCGTGTCAACGCAGGAAATCTCTCCACTTATTTGGATTTTGGGACATAAGGACGAACCAACTATACGGAAAATATTGTCCGTTTCTGTACAAGTTTTGTTTAATACATTCGTTCAGATTTCATTTGGAAAAGTAATACCCTAACATTATGTAATGATAAGCAATGACGTTTAAATATAGATACGGGTATTACGTTTTTATTGTACAAAACGGTTCCGTGACTTCTTATAGATTAAACATATAAGTATAAGACAACTTACTCGGATAATACACTGTTTTCGTCAGCAGTTTTAGGCATAACCATTTCAGCATTAAGATTCTCACAAAATGTCTTTGAATTTGTAATATTCATCTTTTCTCGTTCCAGCTTATAGCATTTAGAACCATGGAGATTCCAGTCTTTGGAACAGGTTAATATGCCTGATTAATACAACACACTAATATGTATTATGCTTCCGAATGCTTCTCTGTTGTTTGTGTTTGACGTAGAATTGACTGCCCATTGAATTAAGACTTGAGAGCAATACGGTAAAAAGATATATAATAGTAAACTTCGAAATGAGATTTTTGGTTTCATAGAAATGTATATATAATATTAATATTAAAATCAAAATGGCAGATAAAAAAAAGTGACAATGCACAAAAACTCTTTAACAGCTTGCAATTTAATTAATCGTGTTCTACTTGATTAAATACAACTGCACATTCATTTTTCAGGCTAACAAATAAATCCAGAACGGTTTATTTTTTACAATACATAATCATTTGCCTTATGATTTGATAACAACTCATGTTATCTTTTTAATTACTCGTATTAAAATCTTTTTTAATCCAAAAATATACCGAACATGAAAGCTTGAGAAAAAAATACTGTTTTTAGGATTTTTAATTTGTCCTAACAACACTTAGCGGTAGAAACAACACATACATTTAAAAAAAAAAGATTCAAATAAAAACTTATCATGCTGAAGAAATGGCGAAACGAATCCTTTTAAGTAAAACTAGGCGAATTCTAGTGTTCCGGTAGGATAGGCAGTACACAATGTACCTGTTCAACCAGATTTAGCCTTCGTGGTGCTTGTGGCAAGTTAACATCTTTGTAATGGCACATTCAGTAATGTAACAATCGATATAATTGGCGATGAGAGGAATAAGTGTGATACCGACTAATCAAAAAATATCCTTGGTGATCTGGGTCAAAGATAAAGATATACCATAATATACATCAAATTATAATTACGTCCGTAAAACTATCAGAGCTAGGGCAAATCTTGAGTGTTGGATACAAAAGGTCCGCTTCCGACATGATTATAATTAGATTCTTAACTTTAACTTTAACATATTAAGCATTCCCGTCATGATGGAAATTTCATAACAGTTCTACAATAGGTCAAATGTCTCCATTTGCATATATGCTTATATATAAATTAAGTTAAACTTGTATGGTCCTGATGTTTTTCCTTTCCATTAAGTCACCATCAAAATGCTAGAAGTCGAATATCATAACGATCATTTTGAAGCAAAATGGTGTCCACGGTTTTACCGTTTATGCCACAACCAATCCAATCACAACAAATGACGTCAAAGTAGTCGGCAATCATTATTAACAATTCAAGTGGTCTTAAGTTAAATTATGAATCGATCTAAATGTATTGTCTCGTATAAAGGAAAAGGGTTTACGAATTGTCATTAGATCTTTCTTTTCGAATGGATTAAAACTTGGAGCTTAATATAAATAAGGAGATATGGAAGGATTGCAAAGGAAACATAATATACCCAACAGAGTTCAAAAGGAAGCAGATTTAAGCAATTATAGGTCACTGTATGGTCTTTAACAATGAGCACAACGCATACCGTTTTGTCAGCCATAAAAAAGTTCCGACTTGACAAATTGTGAAACAATTCAAAGGCTTCTATTCCAGTGTTGCACAACCAATACGACTTTCCTTGGGTTTGGGTGATTAATCTATTTAATTTGAAATAATGCAATACTGTCCCTTTTATTTAAATTTCGTAAAAAGATGATTTTGTATTATCCAAAAGTCTGGCTGCGCTGCAAACAATGTGTCGTAGAAAAAAACAGCCGATTGCAGTTAAGTGTCTTTTATATAAGTGTTTATTCTTTTTTTATTTCTTTTTGTTTTATTCCAATGCAAAAAAACACCAATATAATAATAATGAATCTAAATTGTCTATCAAAATGAAGAAAGTGCACCATTTTTTTTAAAAATAAATATGTATCTTTCTTCTTTATTATTCCATCTCTTGGATTTAATAAAAATAAATATATATGTGGTGCTTGAGTTGATCATGGTTCCGATGCATCATATTTTACTCCCGTTCCTGTATTGCTTAATGTTTAGTGCTCTAAGTAATTTTAAAGTCCATAAATGCATAGCATCATGGACTACATTGTACATGTATTTCAGAACACGTTGAGTCTTCGATAAAAGTAAAATTAATAATCTAAAACGGTTTAATTTTACAAATGTACAGTGCAAAAGGCTCTCTTTGTCTTTTTGTTTAATGTATTGTTGCGTTGTTGTCTCATCGATCGACATATAACCAGCATATAATCCTATTATAAACATCAATGCTAAAATATTTTCACAGTAATTATTTTCATGTGTAAGTTTTCCAAAATATAACTACATTTGCTCGTTGGAAATTTATAAATTGTCTGCAGAAAATTTACTTACTTGAAAACGATTTACTAAAAGTTCCTAATAAAATAATTCCTAAAAGTTTATAGTTAAACATTGTATCTCCAGATTTCCATCACACACGCAAAATGCTGTACACCTAGACGCATGAAGAACTTAATTAATGAATAAACCATATATATATATAACAAAATTATATTAATTATTTATGATTGTTTTACTGCTTCTCTTTTCAATGCAATTGCAATGTAGGTGTTATAATCGTTAACTAGATACATTACACAAAAGAATTATTGTAATGAAACATTTTTATAAATGTGTCAATCAAATGTGATGACGAAGATTCATGAACAAAAAACTCCCGGAACACTCGTAGTCATATTCATAACTGATGATCTAAAATAGGATGCTACACGCATAGCCTTAAACGCGGACAGCAATGAGGACCCCAAATTGAATTGTTATGTAAACAGTAATTTGAACATAACCGTTTGCTTGCAACAGAAGCAGGATACCAGGAGACTCATGGTATCGGTGGCAATGGCATGTCGATACATTGTATAAGCGTGGATCATTTTTTACCTTTTTTAATATTTTTTAGTTATTTAAGAAATAATTCATGGAAGCCATATATTTGTTGGAAATTTACACATGGCCTGGGCCGTGCTATTCAAATTTTATCCTGAGCGTTAGCGAGGGATAAATTAACGAATATCACGGCCCAGGCTATGTGTAAATTTACAACAAATCTATGGCTTCCATGAATTATTTTGATTCTAATAGGACAAATACAGTCATTTAGAAACTGAAGCAAGGGTGGGAATGCCGTGTGTGCTGCTGTTCTTTTTTACTCCCTGTTAGATAAAGCTTAAACTTTCTAATAAATCTGTAGCTTGCATGAATTATTTCGTAAATAACCGCTAGAAAAAAATGAACTTTATTCTTTTAATTCTCAAACTGAACATTTGCCATATTTAATCTACATGTTTTTTCTCGTAAGCTACGGTCAAATCCAAAGATCTCATTTCGTTACTAAGGAGCCGCCATGTTGACTTGCTGAAATCAGTAAATATGCGAATATTGCATTAGAATAGAAAATAACACAACACCTACTTCAAAGAATCAGTTTAATGTAATAGTATACGAATTTCAATGGTTAACGTAACGGAAAAACCTTCAGCTTTAGCGTTTTCATTTGTATGACGTCATGTTTTGAAATAACTTAAATGCGCCAAAAGCATTCATGAACTTTTGCGGAATTTTATTTTATTTTGATTTGTAGATTTCTCCGATCTCTTGTTCATTAATTATGTTTGTTGTGCATTCGAATAAGGATTAAAGTTCTGTAGTCTTATTTCAATTTCAGTTTTTAAAACAAGATATCGGCATAGCGTTTGTAAATAGGTTCTGATACGTGTGGATTTACATGGGAGGTATATTGTAACATCCATTATTATGTATCTCTCTGAGTTTGCGCTAAGTATAGATATACAAAGGTAATGTTATGTTCCTTTTAAATTTAAGGGAAAAGGATACAAGTAAGACTTATATTAAAGATTTAAAAAAATAGTATTTAAAATAATTCCTGAATTCAGGATACGTTCTGTGGGTGAACGTATTGTTTTAAAATACTGCGCAATTTTTTCTTCACTAGTAGTAACATCATTTTGGTTATTTCAAATGCTGGTGAAGCTTTATAAATTTATTGCCGTTTTTTATTTTTTTATTATATATTTAGATAGATAGAAAATGGAATCAGTAACCGAATTATGTCCATGTAGTAAAAAACATTTTCTTTAAAAAATTCAAAAAGCAAGATTCAACTAAATGATTTGATAATACGCTAAAGAACTAATGTTTGCTGGATAATGCAAATAAACTCTTATACATGTACGTGTACATTAATCTTCTGTAGCCTTTTTCCCATCAATTCCTTTGCAATACTTAAGTTGAAAATAAGATTTCGAAATAGAATGTCCATACCAGTCACTCGCACTGAATAGAGTCTGCCGATAGAGAAATCCAAGTCATATAACGTTCGATTTTGGGATTTCGAATTAATTAATAAGGGGACAACAGAAAGGCCAAAGATACAAAAGGGACATTCAAACTCATAAGTCGAAAATAAAGTGACAACGTCATGGCAAAAAGGCCAAAAGACAAACAAGAATATACAAAAACACAACAAAGAAAACAGACTGAACAACACGAACCCTACCAAAAACTGGGAGTACAAACGTGAAACGCATCACATGTATGTAAAAAAATAGTTTGTTCTCCCTCAATTGACATTCTAATGGATTTTTCTGGTCTTATTATATTTTTTTTAAACCTTGAAATGAATGAAACGGACAGCAACAAAAGTATCAATGTATAGAAAGTTTTTTTAAATTGTTTCAATTTGACACCGTAATAAGATTTCTGAATATTGTGTTAAATGATATTTTCCTTATTTTTTTATTAATAATAATAAATTAAAACTAAATATCTATTGTTATACATTGATGAAAACTTATGGCCTTACATCCTATCGATATCAAGTTCTTATATTTTGGCATTGCACAAGGTTATGATTTTCTCAGACTGATATGGCATATTTACAATGAATTCGTTTGATGTGTACTGATTAATACTTCAATATGGGAGAACATGGTTTATTCATGAGCTTTGGTCTAGCTTTCAAAATTTATGTTTATGAAAACTTATGGCCTTACATCTTGTCGATATCAAGTTCTAATAGTTTGGCAGTGCCGGATTATGCTTCTCTCAGACTGATATGACATATTTACACCGAATTCGTTTGATGTGTACTGATTTAGCTTTAAGTAACTGCAAGTACTCTAAGATCGACATTTTTTGTCTTTTATCTTAATGTAAGTTTTTTTTTTGGCTTTATTTTTGTTTGCTTCGTGTCGATCTAATTTGTCAAAAGTTTGTTCTTATGTTGTGATGTTACACCACTTTCCTGTGCTATAGGGGGTTAAACGCTTACTAACATGTTTCATCCCGCCACATTCTTTAAGTGCATGTTCTGGGTCAGCATCCTAAAATAGTTTGAACAATCTTTTTTTACTAGGTAAAGTGCATTTAAAGCGCGATTTGATGATGAAACGTTTAATTGATCATCAAGTACATTTATGCGTCACTCTATTGAGTGTATAACAATTCATAAATATATTATCATACTTAATTAGAGTTTATGAAAAAGCAAAAACTAAGTAATTGATTTCCTCAAATACAACATTCTATAACAAGATGAAATTGAAACATTTAACTCCAAACATCTATTATTTAGAGATGTGTTAAACAAAAATAATATGAAACTGCATGAGGGTGTGGATGGAGGTTTACTGAATAGAGAATAATGGGAAAAATTATAGAGGACAGAGAAAAAAAGACCAAAAAAATAAGGAATAGAGAATAATGAGGTGCTTAAATATAAAGAATAGAGAAAAATGGATAAGGAAGAGAGAAAATTGGCCAAAGAAAAGGACCCTATCCAGACCCTCCTGCATCATCGATACATACTGCTATCGGTGAAAATATACAGTTTCAACTATTTGCTAATTGCATACATGTGTCCCCAATCCTTTAGATACATGTATCTGTTGAAAGGGGATATCGGCTTCGTTGAGAGCTATACATATACTTTAGATAAAATTATAATTTATATTAGCAATGACATAACATAGCCTTTTCCCAGAGGACTTCATTACCAAATATGCTATAACGTTCGTGCATAATATTAATATTTTTCAAATAGTTTAATTGCTCTCTTTCAATTGTCATTCCATGAAATATATTAATTAACATAAAAAGTTTTTAATAACGTGGAATAACTGCTGGGGCAAGAACAAATAAAACGTAATTGGTTTTTATGGTTAATGGTGCAGAATCAGTACATTGACTATAGATTTCAACACGGTCACATGTATGTCTTCTCTGTTAAGAATGCGTTCTGGATATGAAATTTTGTAAATATGCATTTAAAACTCGCCCAGCTTCTGAATATAAACCAAAACGATAAACGTAGTATTTGAAATCAATGTTAATTTAATGAAATCGATCTATAAATGTATAGAATGTACGTAAAAAGTGGCGAAATATTGATTTTATTCACTTGTAATTACGATTTTTCAAAACTCATTTCATAGAAATTGTTTAAAAATAGTATTAAAGTAGTGATGATATTTCAATTTTAATGATATGAAAACATAAAAGGGTAGGTTTTTGCTGCCTAAATAATTGAAGCGATGAATGGATATAAAAAGAAACACTAACATACGATTTTATGTTGTTTTTTTTATTATTATTCCTTTTACGCATAACCGGTATACTGCATCGAAATTTGTGTAAAGCCGTTTGGATTTTTAGAACGTCAATTGGCAATTATTTCGTGCATATTCTAGCAAGAACAAATGAGCTGCTTCGGATAGAAATCAGTCCTATGCAAGTGAACGTATACATGTACATTAATTGATTTTGGAACATTCGAATACGAAATAAAAGATGAATGTTTTGTTTATGTTGTATGGTTTTTGAAACAGTTTTCAAACAATTACAGACTTTGCATTGAGATTATTTAAACACGTACTAGATTGACAGATGTATTGATATTCATTTTTATATGTCGATTTCTATCCGACGCAGATCATTGATTTATGAAGAGCTGCGCCATGAGCGCATGATACGCCCGTCGCTTTTTCAAAGAATACAGTTCCATAACTCCTCAATGTCATATCAGAAATTTATAAAAAAAACTAAAGGGAGGTTATTTCAATAGATATAAACCAGTCACCAAAATTTCATGAAAACTGCTCAAAGCATTTTTGAGTTATTGTCCAAAAACTGGAAAATCCCCCTTTTTTATGAATAACAACATAAAAAACCTTAGCAACCATATATTTTTGAACTTAGAAGGCGATGCATAATGTAAATAAGACATTTTTAATACTGTAAATAACTTTTTTGTCCCTAGCAACGACATATAAGTTCTTAGCAACCACTTATTTTTTTAACTTTAAAGGCTATGAATAGTAGATATGACATTTTTAATACTGGAAGTAATATGTTTGTCCTTTGCAATGACATAAAGATATTTTTGTCCTTAGCAACCACTTGTTATGAACATAAAAGTCCTTAGCAACCATA